CCCCACCCCTTTCCCGTTCAGCACACAGGATCCACCACCGTAGAGTTTATTTATCTAATAAAAGTAAATAAAAACTGCGCAAAATCTCCCAAGACCAGGCCTACCTAACCTATATTCTTTTTGTGTACCTGGGCCTACCTTATAGGCTTGGCCCCTGGCCTAACTACTAGTGTAGGCCCAGGCCTAACTTAACTAGGCCCCTGACCTAACTAGACCGCTGGCCTAACGAGGCCCTTGACCTGTGGGCCTTGTCTAGGCTTCTGGCATAGGCCCATAGCATCAATTCAGAATCCTAATGCCAATATGCCAATCTCTAATTAATTTTATAATGAATTTTTTACAACAGAAATCGCTTACCGATTATACAACAGAAATCCATCGCTTACCGATTATACAACGGGTCTTATCCTACTTACTCGATTACAATTACAAAAGACTGCGAGATTGAGTATTTGGGTTTGACACTAGTGACTTATAATACTCCTAGCACTAATGAATACACTATTTCGTATTTAACAAAGTATTTGAACGCTTTCGTTATTATTGTGAAGATAGACAATGTTAGATCCATAATAATATCGAACGTTTTGTGGAATAACATTTGAACAGAGATTAACATAGTGATCAAATACCGTAAAGGAAGTGAAGTAGTATTTAAAATTACGAAAGTATGCCGTCTACAGTAGTTTTCTTGTTCAATTCAAGGTTTGATTATATTTAGAATCTAAATCACCGTCTTCAATTCCTTGAAACATAGGGGTTTCTTTCCTCGTATAAATTCATAGTACGACTTTACGACTTTGATATCATTGCCTACTGATTTTATGTAGAATTATCTAAAACATTTAAGGAAAACCCCTCTATTGTGTCCTAATTTAGAGCATGTTAAGTGGATCTACATCATGAAATATACTTGCTGAATGTCGAGCATGCTTCACTGAGACAGAAAGTTTGGCAGAATCTAATAACATTAGGGCGTGAGTCCGCAACCAGCCAAATGTTCATGTCGAAACGTATTGCCACGTACTTGAGTTTAATTTAAGTATGATTATATCTACTGCAAAGTCTGGAATACATATAGGCCTCATAATCTTAGTTTATATGCCAGTGACTTGTTATTCAACTTTTTTTTCGTTTTCACTTTCAATGTACACCTTATCTGTTTAATCGAAAATCATTTGAAATTGATACATCACTCTGAGTACAGGCAATTTTTATTCCCGTACAATATTCTTCTGTTCTGAAAATAGTAAAATTTAAGTCATATTTCTTGACAAATTTTCCATGGGACTTGAGGCAAGGCAATCTAGTTTAACAAACTGCAAACAAAGGTTTTTTTTTTCTTTCTTATTCAAATACATTAAGTGGTTAAATTTCAAATAAGTCACATTTTGGTCACACACCAGGAAATTAGCTAAAATATGCAAATTAAGTTAAAAATATAAGGTTGCTTTCTGTTTCAAATTATTCAGAACATGCTTTTTTTCTATTTTGCTTTAATAAAATTTTTGCCATAAAAAATAAACGGAATTGCTACAAATGATCTCTGACCTTATAATCGCTGAATTTGCATATGTCTGTGACTAATGGAACAATCATTTACGTTTCGAATTATAAGGTAAATTGAACAAAATACACAGAGAATGCAGATTCAGTGATCATAAAAAAAGGTCATTTTGTGTATTTCCTGTATATTTTTGTGGCAAATGTTCTATTAGAGCAATTAGAAACATGATTATTCCGTACAATATGAAAAATAGAGCAACGCTGTGTGACCACCTATCGTCAAGATATGTGAATCCTACATTCTCATTTTTAATGTGCATATTTTATAGCTAATTTGTATATGAAAAGTACATGTGACTATGGTGTGTTTATAGATTTCCATTCCTTTCTATTATTATATTGGAAATAATCACGTATTTAAATAATTTTGAGACCTGCATTAAGATTCTACATACATTAGTCGCAGAGATATCAAAATTCAATGAATATAAGGTCAGAGATCAATTGTAGCATTTCTGTTAAATTTGGGGGCAAATGTTCTACTAGAGCAATAGAAACATACATATTCTGAATGATTTGAAAAAAAAAAATGCAACTCTCTGCGACTAGTGGTTACCAAGACATGAGAACCCTATATTATTCAACCTAATTTGCATATTTTGGCAAAATTTCATAATATGCTTCCGACGTGTGATTTGTAGCATTTCATCCCCTCATCGTATGTACTTGATTAAAAAAGAAAAACATTTTTTGGCTATGCTTTGAGCTAGATGGACTAGTATATTATATTGTTCCCTAGTGGCAAGACATACACCTTCAATTAGCACTGCAAGTCTACTGAGCTGAGAACGTGCTCAGTCAGTTCAACGTGCCTTAGCCCTAAGAAGAGTTTTCTAAAAAAATCGAACACTCAAGCTTACACATTTTGACAATTTTACCTAAGCTGATGGATTTTTGCAGAGCCAACTGAATAATAGGCCTATAAAAGAAAAAGGTCTACATTTTATGTTTGTGATAGGTATTATTCTTTTATTTCGTCATTGTTTATCAATTGTGTTTAACTAATGATTATTGTCAGAGAATAAAGCTAGAAACCTCTTATAAACACATTGTATAAATTGATAATAAATGAATAAACATTTCGATA